CGTAGTTGAAAACTGTAAGAATAGAAGAGAATCATGTTATTCATTCCATTTCCCCCATGATAAACAACAGCTACATATCCCCATTTGTTAAGTATATCATGGAATCCTATCAATAACTTGAGTTACAAACTATGACGCCTTTTGGCCTGTCAGATGAGACGCCACTTCTTTATGACAAGAAAGACAGAGAAAGATATATGGATGTACCCTTCACCGCGGCAGTAGAGGAAAGAAGATTCGAAGTGCATGGAAAAGCATATCCATGTCTTTGTTCAACCAAACCTTCAAAGTCATTTTAAGAATTTGGGGTTATGCCTTTTGTCACAGCTTGTCATAGTGTCCGTACTGTTATTACAGCAAAACTGTCAAATACATACAGGGACTCTAGATCAAAGGATAACCCACCTGCATATGACAAAATTCCCATTATAAAAGTCTTACCGTTTTCGAGATTTTTTTTTTAATATCCACTACCAAAGTTTTCAATTAAAATATTTCTCACAGCCCCCCTTTAAAATGTTCGGAGAATGTTTTTAATGTGTACGTTAAAATCATTCTTCAGCAATATTTACTGAAAAAATGAAACAAAAAGGTGTAAAATTGTAACAACCGAACAGACAAAACTATTGAAAGGGGCAAAAATTCAATATTTTCTTCAAAAAATATCTCGAAAAAGGTAAAACTGAAGAATAATGTATCTAAGCCTAAAGCAATTACAAGTGGTGTTCCCCAGGGATCTATCTTAGGTCCACTTTTATTTTCAATCTATACATCATCATTTCGAGAATGTTTGATCAATTGTGAGAGTCATTTTTATGCAGATGATACTCAGATATCCTTCTCTTTTTCTCCTGCCAATATTCTAGAGGGTAATAATCTAATAAATGATGATCTACGAGCACTGTGCCAAATGTCTCAAAAGTACTGCTTTGGAAATAAATCCTACGAAGTCTCAAGTAATGCTATTTGACCGAAAATGTGCTAGGGTGAAATACAAATATCTTGTTGCCATTGAGATAAACACCGAATCCTTAAGTCTAGTTTCTTATTTAGGTTTATACCTGGATGACAATTTGAGATTTGAAATACATGTCAATCAAATAATTAAAAGATCTTTTTGAAATATGAAACTCATTTACAATAATAGACATATACTTGACCACAGAACAAAGAAAGTTTTATGTGAATCCTTAGTGTTTTCGCATATGAACTTCTGTGACGCGATATATGGTCCATGTATCACTGAATATAGTAGTCAACGTTTGCAACGAATTCAAAATGCATGTGTTAGATTGGTTTATAATTTGAGGCGACGTCATAGAGTATCCAACAAAAGAGCAGAGTTGAAGTGGTTGACTGTTCGGCAAAGGCGATTTCTAAATAGTAGTTTATTGTATTTGAAAGTCATTAAACATAAGACACCAGACTATCTATATAGAAAATTGAGATTTAGGAGTGATATTCATAACCTGAATATCAGGGGGAAGGATATTCTAACAATTCCCCCACATTCAACGTCTCTCTTCAAAAGCTCATTCTCCTACAACGTATGCAAAGTTTTAAATATGATTCCTTTGGATATTAAGAAGATGTCGTTGACAAACATTGAATCTGAATTGAAATCTAAATTACTCGAGCATGAATCTCAAATTATAGGTCTAAGTTTGCACACATCACCCTATCAGTCATGGATGTGATCCTCTTCGCTTCTCATAATTTTCATTAATATAAGTATGCCTAAATTAAGTTAACCAAACGAATTTCCATATTTTTTTCTGTTATTGTTTTGAATTGACGTGGTCTTTACGGGACACCCTGTATACATAGAAAAAAATATATGTTTCTGTAACGTGTTGGCTATTATAATTATGGAAATAGGTATGTTCCAGTTCTGATGGCTCAGGCTAAGATATACTGGGACCTGAAAAACTATGCGCAAGTGGAAAAAATATTCAGAAAGAGCGTCGAATTCTGCAACGATAATGACATTTGGAGACTCAATGTGGCGCATGTTCTTTTCATGCAAGAAAATAAATTCAAGGAGGCAACTGGATTCTACGAACCTCTTGTCAAAAAAAGTTTTGCCGAGGTATATTTTGGAGGAAGTCGAAAACCACCGTTCTTGAGTACCTACTCTCTTTTATTTTCAGATTTTGAATGTGAATGCCATAGTTCTGGCAAACCTATGTGTCTCCTACATAATGACCTCCCAAAATGAGGAAGCTGAGGAACTCATGAGAAAAATCGAGAAGGAAGAAGACCAACTTTCTTACGAGGAACCAGAAAAAAAATTTTTTCACCACTGTATTGTCAACTTAGTAATAGGGTAAAATGTCGATATGATCCCCTAAATTGGTCTCTGGGAATCATTTGTTTTCAGGACTCTTTACTGTTCAAAGGGAAACTACGAATTTGGGATATCAAGAGTAATAAAGTCTCTGGAACCTTATGATAAAAAATTGGGTACTGATTCATGGTTTTATGCTAAAAGGTGTTTTTTGAGCCTAATAGAGAATTTGTCAAAGCATATGATTGTGCTGAGAGATTCAATCATACAAGAATGCATACAGTTTTTAGAAAGCTGTGAAAGTGAGTAAAATAATCCACAAACTATATTGAAAATAGTAATTTTTTATTTCATTTTAGTGTATGGTAAGAGTGTACGAACTGTTGCATATTCTTCTCTATCAGAAGCAAATGACAGTCCGAATGGTAAAGAAACTGTCACATATGAAGCAAGAAAAATAAAAAGTGTTTTGTTAAAACTTTCAAATTTTGAATCATGAATTAATACATTGCATTGCATTGATTCTCAAGTATTTGTGAACAATCAGTAAGAATAAAAATGTATTGTAAAATTATCAAATAATAATAATAGTATCAGTAGACTGTTTTGATTGACATTTGCAGTTTTCTGTGATAACTGAAACTTCTTTTTTCAATGACATTGCGCTGACATTAAGATATACTCCTATTAAAGCTGTTACTAATAGATATATAGTAACATTGCTGATTGGCAGATAGAATGACAAGAGAATAATCCAAATTGAAAAACACATGGTGCAGTATATCATATCCATCTGATTCCAGTGATCATTTTCAAAATCATCTATATATATCGATATGTTTGTGGTCCCTCGTTTCTGTGATAATATATCATCATTATTAACCTACAAAATTGAAAATGTGTGAAGTAGGTGCCTATTTTGTTTTTATTTCATTATACTTACAGTATGACTGGATTTCTCATCAGATATATTAGTTATTTCCTCTGAAGAAACTTGAGATGATGTTTGTGGTGCCTCATTTGTTGATAATTGATCATAAACTAAATCTGTTGAAGCAGAATCTTCCAAAGTTATTGTATTGAAGTACATTTTGCATTGATATGGTCTGGAACTCAAAGTGTTCTCACCAATTTTCACATACATGAATTGAATGGAGCAATTTCATATTGAGCTTAATCCCACTAAATTATTTGATTGGATAATTGTGTTCACTTTGTTATCTTGAGATACTTGCTATAGTGCTATGAATACAACAGAGATAATACAACTATGCATATTATTCAAGGTGAAAAAGTGGTGAAATAAATAGAACATAATCAAAGACACCATTAATAATTAATATTGATTTTAATAATCATCAATATAATAATTAATATAACAATTAGCAAAATTACAAGATGAATTCAGCCAAAATACACATCTTATCCGTGGTGTCCCTCAAGGAACTGTTCTAGGTCCAATACTTTTCCTCATTTATATTGATGACATATTAAAAACAGATATTGATGGACATATTTTCTCTTATGCTGATGATACATTGATAATTGTTAATGGCCATTCTTGGTCACAACCAACTGGATTAACCTACAGACAATATGTACCCTTCAACTCAAGGTTCAACTGAAAGGCTTCCATTTATGATCACAAGGTTCATGGGACCAGTCAGAGAAGCGCCCCAGACCATAGCCTGCTACTCATTGTTTATAATGCTCATTGAATTCAATGAAATGAAAAAAATACACTATAATTGCTACACTGGGTATTCATAAAAAAGAGGTTATGATGCCAATACAGTTTCCATGCCATCATTCAGAAGGAGATGGCCTATCATTCAAAGCAAAAAACGTCCAAATCAGACAAGTAGTTTTTACAAAAATGTATCTTTTGGATATTTTCCTATCAAAATGACACATTTCTGAGTTTTTTTTATTTTTGGGGTGAAAAAATTATGAAATGGATGGGCCATAATGAGGCAACACTATGAATCCATTTTTTTTGTGGGAAAAATCCACAGAAAGGTAGGTAGGTATATTTTGCTATTCAAAAAGACATATTTCTGATTCAGTTCCAGTTTTTGGACTGTATAAGGGGTAAATTCTAGGGTAAATTGTATGCCACAAAATCAGGAGAATCCACTAGAGAATCCATGAACCCATTTGTACTTTGTTATGAAAAAAAATCAATAACCATATTTTTTTAGAAAGGTAGGTAGGTATATTTTCCTATTCAAATAGACAGGGTAAATTCTAGGGTAAATTGTATGCCACAAAATCAGGAGAATTCACTAGGGAATCCTTGAACCCATTTGTACTTTGTTATGAAAAAAAATCAATAACCATATTTTTTTCCAAGTCAAAATGACATTTCCGATTTTTTATCAATTTTTGGGGTGAAAAAGGGGCAAATTGGATGCATGAATCTGGCATGAATACAGGCCTACTTATGATGATGTTATCACTCTGATCAAAAAACATTCTTCACTCTGGATATTTGAACCTTAGCCATGAATAATCTAGGTTACTCTTTGATAATTTTTTAGAATACCATCAATGAAGCTGCAATTTTGTTAAGTTCATAAACAGGAAAAATGCAGAATATTAGGAATAATAGTCCTTGTGAAATCTAGGAGAAAATCTATAATAAACATAATCAACTAATACAATAACTCACCTTATAGCTGCACCATAATGATATTTCATTTCACTTATAATGTCAATGCATGCTACCAGCTCCATAACGTATTTCCCTTTCAAACTGTTCTGCTTTCAGAGTTCCATCAATACTTTTGCAATCCTTGTTGAAAACTGAGTAAGCACTGACCTCTCCCCTTTCTTTGGGTCTGGTTCTGGTATTCAGGTATATGCCAACTAGTCCAGATACTATGAAATAAACTGTACCAAACTGGAGTTTGATGAATATTGCCCATACAATTGCCCACAGTAGGAAGCATAAAGAGTAGTAAATTATGTCTGTGTATGTACAACAGTCTATGGAGGAATCATCTATATCACTATTTAGGCTCAGGGTATCTATTTCACCATCATCAAATGTGCTGTCAACAGTATCAACAAACTTTTCATTAGTTGAAGATTCACCCAACAGATTCTCTTTGGCATCCTAAAAATATATTTCGATCATAAAGAATACATCCACAATTATAAAAAATGAGTACCTGATCAGCAATTTTATTATCTGATTTTGTAAACAAGGATTTCCAAAAACCACTTGCTGGGGTACTTTTTGTCCTTTTCTTAGCTCTATATTCAGCGAGTTTTCTCTCAATGTTACTCATAATTTGAAAATTGAAATCGGCGAGAAAAGCAGGAGAAAGAGGCAACGAAAGACATACAAAATTCAAAATAAATAATAATTACAAGATTACAAACGTCATTAGGTCATATCATATCACGTCAGCAGAAATGAAAAAAAAAATGAGGTTAAAAACTTGCTGTAGAAAATCTTCTGTTTTTATAGAAACATTTTTGGAGACATCTGAACTAATATCTATTAACCTTTTCTTATCTGAATCTGCTTTTCATTCCCAGTTTCTAGCAAGTTTCCTGATGAAGGATGAAGGAAAAAATAAACACAAACATCAGCTGTTCCTGACATTATCTAAGAAATTGTCATCTGGTAAAAAGTCACATAATTTTTGTCAACAAAGACCATCTTTGGGGAATATTTTTGCACGTATGTGAAAATGGCTATTCCTTCTTGCATAAATCCAGTGCGTTATTTGACTGAGAGACAGTATAGTGATAACATTTTCATAAAAAACAACTTGTTCAGTGCACGATTTGCCAATGCAAGAAATTTGTTCAGAAAGGACTTGGTGTCCCATTATGGGTGTGTAAATGCAGTGGAATTCTCAGTAGATGGAGAATTCATAGTTTCAGGTGAGTTGAATTTTATTCATTTCAAGATTCATCTCAGATAAATAATATAAATTCTTCAATTATGAAAATATGTATGGTCAAAAAATCGAAATATTATTATATATTTTTCTGTATTTGATTCATTTTAGGGGGTGATGATAAAAGGGTGCTCATGTGGACTGTACCCTTAGCTATTTATGATCAGGGAGCTCCTGTGGTGATGCGTACTACACATAGAAGTAACATTTTTTGTCTCACTTTTGATTCAAACAATGAGAAAATATTTTCTGGGGGCAATGATGACCAAGTTCTCATCCATGAAGTCCATACGTAAGATAATTTATCCAACATGAATATTCAGAGTTCCTCATTTCTTAATTCATGTACATATTTCATCCTAGGCAAAAAATGAATATACCTATAGCACAGATTAACAAACCTTATGTTAAAAAGAACCACAGTTTTTCTCCTATTTTCAAAATTGAAAAAATACCTATATCTAGAAACTTATAATGAATAGTTGAGTTACATAGGTACCTAGTTCAAATAGAGTTAAAGTAGATATAATAGATATATTCTTTGATTGTTATGCATGGGTATTACCTATCATTTTTGGATAGGAGCTAAAATACTCAATATAGGTAGGACCAATACACTTGATAATATATCTGATTTGATCTCATCTGATCTGAAAATTATAATAAGTAATATGAAAACCATAAAATAGGGAATAATCAGCAGTACTTTATTATTGATTATTTATAATTACTTAGTGAAAAGGAACTAATTTGTGGAAAATGGGAAAAGTTATGGGGAATACATCTCAGTGTATTAAAATTCTACATCTTCTGTAAAACACTATAAATCATTGAAAAATCTAGAAATCCTTCAGTGAATTCTAGTGATGGTTTTGTGAAATATATATGTCACATCCAGTTTATACTTTTTCTAGGAAACACTAAATCATTGAAAAAATCTAGAAATCCTTTGGTAAATTTAGAGATTACTGTGAATTATGTCTAAAATTGTGAAGATGTTAAACACTTCACAATTTTTTTAGGATAACTTCAATAGGGTCTATTCCACATGAAAAACCAGTATATGGAATCAGTATACACCCCCAAAACAACAATATTATAGCTACAGCAGGGGAAGATGGAAGAATATTACTTTTTGATGTTAGGGATACAAGTCAGGGTATGTATAGATGTGGAAAAAAAATAAAGTCAAGTGATGATACAAAAATAACATCTTGTTGATTTATCAACAGATGCCCAAGTTGTAGCTGAACATAACAGTGGTTTTCACTCAGTAAAGTTCAACCCACTAAAACCTCGTTATCTAGTAACTGCCAATTCAGAAGAAGGCATTCAACTATGGGACTGTAGAAAACCTAAGAGGCAAGTATTTCCCCAGCTCGAATAAGCTTCTTTAAGCAGACATTTTTGCAGTCAACTCCTACACTATGACTCTCAGAGTGGCAAAACCAATGGTATCAGTGCCTGTTTTGACTGCACCGGTAAGAAAGTCCTAGCTTTGAGAAGACGTCTGCCTCCTGTCTTGTACAATGCAGAATCTGAAAGTTCTGTGTGTCAATTCTATCATCCCCAGTACTACAACTCTTGTACCATGAAAACTTGCTGTTTTGCTGGCGAAAATGATGAATATATCTTGAGCGGGTCTGATGATTTCAATCTTTATATGTGGAAGGTGCCTACGGATGATTGTGAGTATGCCACATTTGAAAAAAAGTAACTATATGAATCTGGAAATGATGAAATGTTTACGCCATTTATATTTTCGTGAATGGCAATTTGATCTATTTACTTCAATTCAGTTCGACATTTTGATTTTTAAGTTCTCAAAAAAATTAATACATATGGTCTTGCAGTTGTAATTTACAGGGTGATTCATGAGGAGACACATAGCCAAATGGTGGATAGGGGAAATCAAGAAGAGTTGATTACAGGGTGTATCTAAATAACACCGAGAAAATTCAAGGGGTGATTCTTTGTGATATTTTAGGAAATAAAGTTCATATAAACATGTGTCCTAACTTGCTTTGTTTTCGAGATACAGGGTATTAATATTTCCATGAAAAATATTTTTTATTCATTTCTCAATTGTCTTTTCATCAATTTCAATAAAACCTTGTAGTTTTGTAAATAGTAATATGGGGCTTCTTCTAGTGCAATCAAATTCGAAATAATATTTCCAGTGGGTAAATTTATCGATATTCATGGTGAATTTCATTGTAGACCACTGGTTTTTCTGAGTTTCATATTTTTATCGGATTGAACTATTGAAATAACAACTTTTTTATCCCCTGTGTGGTTTTTGTATCTAGCTTAGTTTTTGGGGAAACAATAAGAATTCGATTTGTCTCAAAATTTTAATGTAGGTGTTTTCAAGACTTCCATTGAGATTACTAAATAACCCCAATTAGAATCATTTTGAAATTTTGGGGCTTTTTCAGTCTCCATCAATACTGAAATTTGGCACCATGGAAGCTTATACAGGGGTGTTATAAATTAAAACAATAAGTACCTACTTCCAACTTCACCATCCTGTATCTCAAAAATGGAGCAAATTAAGACACATGTTTATATGAACTTTATTTGCTAGGAGGTCACAAACACCCCTTGAATTTTTTCGGTGTTATTTAGATACACCCTGTATACCGGGTGTCAACGAATCTATTAGACAAGTCATAACTTCTAGACCATTGGATGTATCAAAATGAGATTTGGTATAGGTAAATGGTATGTGAAGAGAAGAGTTTTCACATATTTTTCACTTTCCGGTCACTTCCAGTTTCACCGGAAATGGCTCCGGTCCTAGATTTATAAATGGAACCTTATGTCACTGTCATAACCTAAGTGAGTGTTTTCTTCTCCCAAGAAGACTTGATCGAAATAACTGCAAAATATTATGCATCATGCCTATCCTCGGCACACTTGACAAAAGTAAATAAATTATTATGAAGTATTTTCGACAGTCTTATTTAATTTATGATCTCATTTGTAATCCAATCGCAAATAAATTAGTATCGTTAGATTCGTCAAAATATCCTTTTTTCGGAAAGTGCTACTTAAAAAATGGTCGCCATTTGAAAAATAATAGTTAGACACGAAAATGTAATTTTACCAACTTGTTTTATTCATATCTATTATACTTGTCACTAAAACTTCGCGATTGTAATTTTCTGATATCACCCGAGGTCCTTATAGATTAGTTTACTTCCGATCATGGCCACCTAGATGTAATTTTAAAAGTGACTCCGAAAAAATGAAGTAGGCATAAAAACTTTCGAAAATGTCACATTCTGATCTAGAATTGTCTCAGAAATCCAAAAATGTTACAATATACAGGGTGTTCCATTCAAAAATTTAGAACTGGAGCCATTTCCGGTGAAACCGGAAGTGACCGGAAAGTGAAAAATATGTGAAAACTCTCCTCTTCACATACCATTTACCTACACCAAATCTCATTTTGATACACCTAATGGTCTAGAAGTTATGACTTGTCTAATAGATTCGTTGACACCCGGTATACAGGCTGACTGACAAAAAACGCCCCAAGCCATAGCGTCGCTATTTATTATCCGATTTTGAAAAACAAAAAAGCAAATGAAATGACATATCAGATACTACAAGGTGGCACTAACAATTTTTTTTTTAAATTTCAACTCTAACGACGCCGATTGTCAATTTTTTTTTTCAAATGTTAACATATATTTTTCAATTTTTTTTCTGATAGAAATTTTTTTTCTGAATACAGTCATGTATAACAAGTTGATTTTTGCACAAAATTAGTTGACAAAAATCAATTCTCCGCCGACAAGAAATGGGTCTTTTCATTACATTGTCTATCGAGTCATTGAAGTTGCAGTAGATGTCTCAGAATCAACTATGGCCATGAGCTGTCAGTGTGACATTCGTTCCATATTTTCAAACAGCTCAAGATATTCATTCTTCAAAATAAAACGAAATATGAATAATAATCAACTGACCGACATGATACAAACGTACTTTGAATGCGGTAGAAATAGTGGTCAAGCATTGCGATTATACGTTGACCGATTTCCTGACAGAGAAGTTCCAGATCGTCGTAAATTTGCTAGGCTAGAACGAAATTTGAGAAACTACGGAGCACTCAAGAAACCTAAACGAAAGGAACGTCAGTTTGATGAGGATGTCGAATTTGAAGTTCTTCTTAGTGTAGAAGAAAACCCAAGGACTTCTACTCGAGAAATTGCTAATAACATTGGCGTATCGCAACAATCCGTGCAAGCAATACTCAAGAAGCACAAATTCATACCATACGTGCCACAAAAAGTACAAGCACTAGTAGAAAATGATCGAGATCGAAGGGAACAATTTTGCAGGCATTTTCTGAATGCGATGCAACAAGATCGAACGTTTTATAGAAAAATTATTTGGACCGACGAGTGTACATTCACTAATAATGGCATTTT